AGGTTCAAACAACGCTTCCAGGTAATTCTAGGAGAGACTCACTGCCAGAGACCCTCAAGAGCAGCTGCCAGTCCATTTGGATGGGGCTAGATAGTGAAGTCAGGTGTCACATCCTGACACAAGGAACCCACAGACACAGGTGCATAACATACTCGAGTGTAACAGAAGATAGCAATCTGATGTAGGGATGAGTCAAAACTCAGATGCAAGATGGTGGGAAGTTAAGGAAATCTGAGGTCAAGGGTGCGTCAAAAGCTCTATCAGAATGCCAGTGGTTTCTGAGATGGAATGCCTGGAGATGGTATAAAAAGCTCTTTTGTTCCAAGGGATCCTCATTCGCTCGACAACACTTGACTTGACAACAACGTCTTCTCAGTGATCGACAGGGTAAGTATTTTCTCTGGACTGTCAATGGATCTGTCATTCTTCAAATCTAATTGAGTAGGACCAATAGCTTTTCAGATTTGCAACCGGAGAGGTTAATGGATGCTGGTAACAATGACTATGTTCTACTTCCACTGGTGAAGGCTTTAGGCCACCTTTGGCATAATGCAGTAGGGCTATCCTGACATTCTTAGAGGATCAGGCAAATTCACTGACAGTGAGCTTATCAATGGCTATGATGGCTATGTCTGGAGCATTGCACCTCTGAGCATCAGTTACTGGAAATCACAAGTGCACAGACTGCTGCTGAACTCAGGACTGGTTTATTGAGGCATCTGGTTGGCCAGTATGAGAACAGGAAGTTGGCCTTGTTGGGTCTTTGTCAGGATCCAGTAGGTTCTTTATTTGTTCTCATGATGATATTTTATTGAACCAAATTCACGATGCTTGTGATAAGTCAGAAACTCATTAACAACTTTAGATACTTGGGCTCCCAACTTTCATCTTCCAAAGCTAGCCTGACCAAAGGTAAAGGGTGATGGGATTTCTATTCCATTCTGATGCAATGGCTGCTGTAAACGATAGTGGTGGGATGAGCCTGATGAAACTCATCCTTTAGCAAGGAAGGGGAAGAGACCCTGCTGACCCATCTCTCTCCCTGCTACAGCCTGATGGAATTACTAGTGATGTGCTGAAACTTTGAATGCCCTTTATCTTGATTAGATTGTTGGGTTCATATAGCTCAGTGCTGCCTATCCCAACTTGCAACAGTTCTCCAGGGTTTCAGACTGGATCTTCTCCCAACCCTTCCCAGAGGATCCAGGGATTGAACCTGAGACCTTCTGCTTGCAAAGCTAATGCTCTACTTCTGAGCCACAGTCCTCATCCATCATAGAAAGGAACATACAAAGTTGCTTTGTATTGAGTCAGACCATTGGCTAGCAACTCAATGTTGTCCATCTTAACTGGTACAGGCTTTGCAGACCCAGCCCTGTCTAATTGAACCTGTGGCCTTTTTCTGCATGCAAAGCAATTGTGCTACCCACAGAGCTATTGGGCCATTCCCCCTCTTAGTCAAACTGTTGGTCTATCTCACCTAGCTTTCTTCCTTTGACCAGCTGTGGTTGTCCATGAGCCTTTGGCAGTGGCAAATCTACAATGGAGATGCTAATTTTTTGAACTGAGCAGGGCTTTGATGTAGAAAGCATGTGTTTTACTGCTGAGTATTGGGATTTCTCGATCGACATAGCATTTTGCAAGTGCTTGACTACTGTCTATAATTGGCTGTAAAATTGGGATTTAGCTGAAAATTTAGTGGGTTTTTTATGGCATTTCTTTAAACTGTTAGGTTGGCTGGACTGGAGCAGGGACAAAGAACCTTAAGCCCTCTAGAAATTGTTGGACTCCAACTCCCACCAACCACAGTCAGTATGGCCAATGGTCAGGGATGATGGGAGTTGTAGTTCAGCCATTTTCTTGGACTCCAGCTCCTATCAGTCCCTGCTAGAATTACCAAAAGTCATGTGTGGTGAGAGTAGGAATCTGGAAGTTCATAGGTTCCTCAACTCTCATGGAATTTTTAAAGTGGTGTGTGTCATTCTACAAGAAACGAAACAGTACAAGAGGTGGGTTGCACACAAAAAATCCAGCCTTAAATCAGACTAAATTGTTTCCACATACTGAGAGTAATCACACAATAGGGGGCTTAATCCTAGACAGGAAGGAGTTGTCCTCTTTCAGGGATACAGAATGGGTATCCTGGGATAGTCTTGTTGCACTGCAGAACAACATATGGAGGATATTTTACAGAATACCCCAAAAGCTGATCCCTTGGATAAAATGGATCAAAAAATGATGTTGGTCTTTCTCTTTCTCTCCCTCCAGAAGTTTTCAAAGCCATAGCAAAGATGAGTCAACAACAACAACTACAACTGGGAGGAGGTGGCTGCTGTGGTGGTGGCCGTGGAGGCGGTTGCTGTTGTGGAGGCAGAGGTGGAGGAGGACGAGGTGGCTGCTGTTGTGGTGGCCGTGGAGGCGGTTGCTGTTGTGGCGGCAGAGGTGGAGGAGGACGAGGTGGCTGCTGTTGTGGTGGCCGTGGAGGCGGAGGCGGTTGCTGTTGCGGAGGCAGAGGCGGAGGAGGACGAGGTGGCTGCTGTTGTGGTGGCCGTGGAGGTGGTGGCTGTTGCTGCGGCGGCAGAAGTGGTGGTGGATTATCTCAACAAAGCCAGATGAGTGGTGGTGGAGGTGGATCTTCTCAAGGCGGAAGCAGCGGTGGGTGTTGTGGTAGATGAAGTTGATGTCCCCAGAAAGAGCTGAAATCTCAACCCACAATGACCACCACCTCTTGAAGATATCTTCTTGCAAAACAAACGGTTGCTGTCTTTTCCAGATGATGAGCCAGACCTTCCTCTGGCATGGAGAACATCAGTCTTTCATTTTCCTGCTATGACTACCTCTTTCAAGGCATTAAAAACTTCTTTCCTGCAAGCCTTTTAGTGTCATGGTGTTCTTTTCCTATCTTCACTTCTCCATACACACATAACGTTCCTACTCTTCACCCACATTGTCCTCTCTGCTCCCAAGCTCTGCAGGTAGTCCTTACGCAGAACTTATGGGAGATGCTGGGGATTGAACCTGAGACCTTCTTCGTGAAGGTTCTCTGCCACTGATTTAGGAGTCCTCCCAAAATAGGAAGCCGCCTAGGTAATCTTGCCCAGTATGGCCTACTGTGACTGGCTGCATCTCTCCAGGGCCTCAAAAAGAGGAAGATATCCCTCATCCTTTCCCACGTGATCTCTTTTCAATTGGAGATGCTGTTGGCTAAACTTGGGATCCTACTTCCATTATTGAGCTAGAATGATGGACCTACGGTCTCAGTATAAAAGAGCTTCCTATATTCTTCTTCCACGGTTGAATATGCAGGTGGCTTTTAAGAAAACATGATTTAAATTTGATCTCTTCAGTGAACGGTTCACTGTGTACCTATTATTTTAAATCCGTTCTTATTTCAGACAAAGACAGAGGTATTCTTTCAAATCTCCTCCCAACTTCCACCTTTTCTAAAAACACCCAAATGTGTCATATTGTCTAATTCCTTGACAAATAGACATAACCTGCTATACACGATTATCACCTGACAAGAGAAGTCTGATTAGGAAAATATATGGATGAATGTCTAATGCTCTCCTTAGGGTTGTATATCATAGAAGCCGATTCCTAAGGGCCATAGTGGCTTCTCCCTCCCTTAAAATATTTGAGGGGACTGGGCCCCCAAGAAGTTAATGGGCATTGCCATTCAAATGGTGTGGGGTGTGGCTTAAGTGGCCCCCCACAATACTTTATTCAAGTTGGCACCCCTGTTGCAGATGATTGGTCCATCTAGCTCAAGGTCCAGTTACACTGATTGGCAGCTGCAGCTTTCTAGCAATTGGACCTAGCCCCTCCCTCATGCAAAACAGCAGTTTTACCAGTGAGTTACAGTCCTTCCTTTGGGTTGGATCTGTGGTGTCCCTGTGGACCCAACTGGTTGTCATCAGATGGGCTTCAGGTGTGTTGTGGTTCTGGACTGTCAGGAGTTAACACTTCAGGAGCGTGGTTCTTATCAACTGAGTGCACTGCCCACATGATCTGTGCTTTTTTCCTTTGATCTGTGCTCTGTGGGGGCTGAGCTCTCTCTGGAGAACAGTCTGTCTGAGAACATTAGCAAGGTTGTTAAGAGGCAGAAAGCTGCAAACATGCAGCTAGATTCTGTAGGTTTTTCTTTTCTGTTTTGGGTCACATTGTATAAGAGTTTTCTGTTTTTTGGCTTTGGGTCACATTGTATAAGAGTAAGGTATTTTACTTGTTTGTGAGTGTTTGTTCATTGAATGTATTTATAAGTGAGCTTTGGGGATTAGTCCTTCCAAGCGGGCTTCCAACAAAAACCAACAAACCAATTTCCCTGGTTCGATACCTGCCATTCCCAAAAACAAAAGAAGAATCATGATAGATCAGGCCAATGATGCATCTCATTCAACATCCCATTTTCACAGCGCAAAACCCCAAGAGTAGACCCTCCAGGTGCCCCTATTTTCCAGGGACAGTTCTGGATTTACAGAAGCTGTCCCAGTTTTTTATTTGATCCCAGAATGTCTGGCTTTTCCTTAGGACATCCCTCTTCTTGTTGTAGAAATGTTTGAAGGTATGGAGTTATCCAACCCCTGAGCCAAAGAGATAAGTCACTATACAACCTTTCTAAGACATCTGAAGGCAACCAGGCCTTCTCGGCAGTGGAACGCCCTCCCATCAGATGTCAAGGAAACAAACAACTACCTGACTTTTAGAAGACATCTGAAGGCAGTCCTGTTTAGGGAAGCTTTTAATGTTTGATATTTTATCGCTTTTTTATTGTGTTGGGAGCAGCCCGGAGTGGCTGGGGTAACCCAGCCAGATGGGTGGGATATAGATATTATTATTATTATTACCACTGATAGTCCAATCCCCATGAGTTTGTCTACTCTCCTTTTAAAGTCATCCAAATCAGTGGCCATCACTGTAGAGATAAGAGATGCCACTACCGGAAATCCTGCAAACTGCAGTCAGCCCAGGATGCAATGGAAATGTGTGCATGGAGTACAGGATAGCTCAGTCAGCAGAGCATAAGACTCTTAATGTCAGAGTCATGGGTTCAACCCCCATGTTGGGCAAACAATTCCTGTATTACAGGGGATTGGATTAGATGACCCTCCTAGTGCCTTCCAGTCCTACAATTCTATGAAAATGGTGAGTAACCAAATACACATTTGATGGTTCATTGTAGCGATAACTGAATTTCCATGGAATGTGCATGAGCGCTGCCCACACCAAGTGATCTCATAAGAGAGAGAAACACCCCTGGTTTCCCCACCTTGGAACTCATATGGGGTGTGTCCAGCAATCATTGCCCAGGTGACACAAGGACAACCTGACTGAGACCCAAATGGATGGAGACATCGTCCCTTGCTTGGAAATTCTGTGTGCAATGGCATGAGTCAAAGCCAAGGTTGCACAGCTCCAACTAATTAAGAAAGAGATTGGTACAAAATGCAAAGGAAAAGAAAACAAATAAGCATGGCTGGGCCATGGCTCAATCGACAGGAGGGGTTGGCTAAGGAATAGTATAAAAAGTGTCCTGGATGGGAAGCTGACATTCACAACAGCTGCACTTCCAGAGATCTCTTTGGTGAACCAGGTAAGTCTCTCTCTCTCTCTCTCTCTCTCTCTCTCTCTCTCTCTCTCTCTCTCTCTCTCTCCCTCTCTCTCCCTCCCTCCCTCCCTCCCTTGTCCTCCTTTCAGGCAGTGGTGACTGGTGCCCATTGGGACTGGCATGGTGGAAGGCCTTAGAAGCAATCTGGTTCCCTCCAATTTTGCTAGACTCCAGCTCTCATCATTCTCCTAACAAGTCTCAGCACTCTTAACAAACTTCAGCTCCGATAATTATTTGGGGGAAGCCAGGACTGTTTAAAATTGTTTCTTGGGGCCTTAAATGTATGGTCTGAATGTGACCTTGGGAGCAATCTGTTGCTCACCAATGTTCCCATCAGCCCCAAGCATGGCCAGTGTTCAGGGATGCTGGGAGTTGCCATCCAACAACATCTAGGAAACAACACATTGGCTACTCCTGGATTAGTGTGAGAGAGATGTTGGATAATTTCCATGCTGACTGGTGGAGCAGGAGGCAAGGAGCCCAACAGCAGGGTTGTTGTGAGAATAAAATGGGGCAGGGGAGAAACATTTATAAATGACTTGTGGGGATCCTGGGAGGGAAGGTAAGATGCAAATGCATTCAGAAATTAACCAATTATACAAGAGTAAGCCCAGATCTGCCTTCTGTTTCCTACAGGTTTGCTTTGACAGCCAAGAAAGATGTGTTCCCGTCAGGACAAAGACCAATGCTACAAGCAGGAGAAAGAGGAAGGGTCCTGCTGTGGTGGCCGGAGGTCTTCCACCAGTGAGGACCGAGGTTCCTGCTGTCTGGGAAGGAGAAACAGCGGAGGGTGTCATGGCAATCGTGGTTCATCCGGCTGTCATGGGAAGCAACAAGAGCAGCAGCAGCAGCAGCAGCAGCAGGTCTTCCAAGTGCCATCCCAGAAGCTGAAGTAACACCAAGGAGAATTCCTAGAAGGGCCTAATTCTGCAGGAATTAGGTGGAGTCATTTCAACTACAGTTCCTGAGCATTTGAGGCACTCTCAGCTTTATCCCTGCAACAAATTCCACCACCCCAATGCTCCAAATTCTCAGCTACCTCTTCTCCTCTTCTACGGGGGTCATCTCCTGTGACATTTGGAGCATGAGAAGAGCAAGGAGAGTCATCCAGCTATTTCTATTTGCTGTTCATTTGCACACATGAGAGAATAAATAATAAATATTTATCAATAATGAACTCTTTATTTGTTCATTTTTATTTTTTTATTCTAAGCATCTCTGCAGTTCATCCAAATAATCTTCCATTTCTATCCAGCAAATGACCAGCGTCAACGTCACTTTGATGTAGGTTCATAGGAAGTTGCATTCTACTGAAACAGAGCCTTGGTCATCTAGCTCAGTATGGCATACATTGATTATTGCATACTTTATTGTGTACAGTGGCTCTCCAGGGTTTCAGGTAAGGGAGGCAGTGATGCTCTGAATTCCAGTTGCTGGGAATCACAGGAAGGAAGAGTGCTCTGCTGGTTTTACACTGTGAAAATAGGATACCTAATGAGATGGGTCATTGGCCTGATCCATTCAGGCCCTTCTTATTTTCTTATGCAGATACCAGAGATTGAACATGGAAGCTTTGTCTGTTATACTGTTGGAAGCCCGTTTGGGAGAACTTACCCTAAAAGCTCACTTATAAATTAATGAATGCACATACGTCCAATACCTTACTCATACAATGTTACCAGATGCCCATCTGATGACCTGGGACCCGTTGAGTCTGCCCAGATAACATTGCTCCAACCCAAAGGATGGTCTGTAGCTCCATGGTAGATCTTCTGTCTTGCACATGGAAGGGGCTAGGTCCAGTCTCTGGAGAGCTGCTGCCATTCAGTGTAGCCAATCTTAAACTGGATGGACCAGTCATCTGACATTGTGTAAGGAAATTTCTACAACCCTAAGGAGAGCATTAGTCATTCATCTATATATTTTCCTAATTAGCCTTCCTGACTAATTTCTCTTACCAGTTGGTAATCAGGTTGTGTCTGTTTGGCAAGGAATTAGACAAGATGACTCATCTGGGTGTTTTTGGAAAAGTGGGAGCTGGGAGGAGAATGGAAAGAACGCCTCTATCTTTGCCTGAAATAAGAGCAGATGTCAAATAATAGGCACACTCAAGAGACCAAGTTTAGATCAAGCTTTCTTAAAAGCCACCTGTATACAGTGGTACCTCATGTTACAGACGCTTCAGGTTACAGACACTTCAGGTTACAGACTCTGCTAACCCAGAAATAGTACCTCGGGTTAAGAACTTTGCTTCAGGATGAGAACAGAAATCGCGTGGCGGTGGCATGGCAGCTCAGGAGGGCCCCATTAGCTAAAGTGGTACCTCAAGTTAAGAACAGTTTCAGGTTAAGAACGGACCTCAAGAATGAATTAAGTTCTTAACCCGAGGTACCACTGTATTCCACCATAGAAGAAGGATACAGGAAACTCCTTCATACTGAGACTGTAGGTCCATCATTCTAGCTCAATGTTGTAAGAAGGATGGGCATTCTGTGGCTCTCTGGGGATTTGAGACAGGAGACTTTCCCAGCCCAACCTGGAGCAACAGATCTTGAACCTGGACCTGGGACCCTCTACAAGCATAGCATGTGTTCTGCCACTCAGCGGCTGTTGTTGTTGTTGTTTGTTTTAACTCACCATTTTCCCTGATGGGACTCAAGGTGGATTACAGATAAAAACAAGATTTGCATTTTTTTTAAAGGAAAAACAATAATTAAGAAGCAATTAAACACCGATTGAACTATCTACATACCTAAAATCTGTTTAAAACATGAAAATAATTACACTAAAAAAAAATTACGGCACCAGTCCTTTCATTAAAAGCAGTCAACTTCCCAAACCCCGTAGGAGAAAGAAGGTCTTCAACTGCCAGCAGAAGGACATTGTTATGTTTCCAAGGGGGTTGCTCGGGAGCAAGCAGGCAAATATCTCCATACTTGGCTGTGAAGTCTTGGCTTTGCTGCCAAAATAAACTTTATCTGTCCGGTGCACCACTCTCCCATGGCTGACTCAATCGCTGGCAGAATCCGTGAGTGGGCGGTTCTTAAACTTTCCCCAGCAAAGCAGCTTCTTGACGCCCAATCTGCGCCTCCCCTCTCTGCGCGAATGCTTTCTGCGCAAAGAGGGCGTGGGCAGCGGAGGACCCCTTCCCTCCCCGCTTCTCCCAGGCAAGGAGTCCTGGGACCGCCTCACCACTTCCGACTCCTGCAGCTCCTCTCCACTGGAGCCGCGTTTACTCTCTCCTCCGTTGAAGAGGCGCTACTTCCCACGATCCTTGGAGGCTCTCTATAATCCATTTGGCTTTTGCTCTCTCCCTCCTGCACTGATGGCAGTTCCCTGACAGACATGAAGGACAGAGACAGTCTAGCTCCTCCAGGGAAGGAATTCCAGAGTCTGGGAGCAGCCACCAAGAAGGCCCTTTTCTGCATCTATCAGAATATTGGCCCCTCTAGCTCAGGTCTGTTGGCACTGAAGGACAGCATCTCTCTAGAGTTTAAGGCAGGGATCTCTCTCCATCCAATCAGGTGATGCCAATCGTTAGACCTGGGAACTGAACCTGGGAAAATTCCTAGAATTGCCTGTGAAGAGGAATTGTTAAATCACCCTGAAAAGTGTACCTCTGTGAGGGAAAAGGGGTCTCCTAACAGCCATTAGTACCCTTAACAAACTACAGTGCCTGAAAATTTTTGGGTGGGGAGGGCATGAGTGTTCAAAGTGGTATCAGAGCACTTTAAATTTGTGTTACAGATGTGGCCTCAGGGGGACTCTGATGCTCTCCAACCTTACTGGACTCCATCTCCTATCAGCCCCAAGCATGGCCAATGGTCAGGGATGCTGGGAGTTGTAGTTCAGCAACATATGGAAGGCATCACATTCACTACTCCTGCATAAGTGTGTGCGGATGTGTGTGTGTGGACTGCAGTGGTGCATAGTTCCGACTGAGATTGGCAGGGAAGAAGCTATGGAGCTCAGCAGCCCATGGCAGGCAAATTCTAATTTCATCCCCATTTAGTTCCACGTTGTCTACACTGATGTTGTCTCCAGACCTGACTGGATATGCTGGAAATTGAAGCTGGGACCTTCAGCATGCAAAGCAGTAGCTCTACTGCAGAACTTGCCTTCTTGCAAGTCAGAGCTTGGTCCATTGAGCTGTGCATTGAAGATTAATAGGACAGAAGGCAGGGAGGACAACAGTAGGCAGAGAGGGAGACAAGGGCTGATGGGACCAACTAATTCTGATTTTCTCCCCATCCTCCTCCTCCTCCCTACAATGGGCAGCACTGAAACTAAGTTGACAGCCAGGGCCACCCTCCTGATGGGCTGTAGGTAAGAAGGCAGGCAGGTTCATGTTGGCTGATGTTGGTGGTGCAATGCCTATTCACTGTAATGGACAAGCTTCCAGTGGATGTGTGTGGATTTGGCCAAGCATTTTATTTTGCATGCCACGGATCCAAAGTTCAGCCCTCAGCATCTCTAATTGAAAAGAGATCAAGTGGGAAAGGGTGGGAAATATCTTTCTCTTTTTGAGGCCCTGGAGAGATGCAGCCGGTCAGAGTAAACCATACCAGGCAAGATTCTCTTTTTTGAGGACCAGTGGCAGAAAACATTATTGTTTATTTTAATGTAGAAGATCTCAGGGTCAATCCCCATTATCTCCAAGAAGCACTGCATAAGGACTGTCTGCCTATTCGACAGCTGCTTCCCATCAGAGTGGACAATATTGGGATAAGTGGGGAAAGAGTAGGACATTACGAAGCAGGTTCTGAAGTGTGCAGGAAGTGAAGATGGGGGAGAAAACATCATGACACTGAAAGGCTTGCAGGAAAGAAATTTTTTAATGCCTCCACAGAGGTAGTCATAGCAGGAAAATGAAATACTATGCTTCCCCCTCTGGAGGAAGGTCTGGTTCATCATCGGGAGGAGACAATAACCAGGAGATCTTCAAGAGGGTGGTGGTCATTGTGGAGTGGGATTTCAGCACTTCTTGGAGGCATCTACTTCATCTTCATCTGCTGAGAACTTCCACCACCACCACATCCGCCACTGCTTCCACCACTGCTTCCACCACCGCAACATCCGCCGCTGCTTCCACCGCTACTTTGACCGCTGCTTCTGCCACCGCAACATCCACCGCTGCTTTGGCTTTGTTGAGAAGATCCACCTCCACGGCCACCACAGCATCCTCCTCCACCTCCTCCTCCACCACCACCACGGCAACATCCTCCACTCCTCTGGCTTTGTTGAGATGATCCACCACCACCACCACCGCCGCAACAGCCACCACCTCCATGGCCACCACCACCACCACAACAGCCTCCTTGTTGTTGTCGTTGTTGACTCATCTTTGCTATGGCTTTGAGAACTTCTGGGGAGAGAGAGAGAGAAAGACCAATGTCATTTTTTGATCCAGTTTCTCCAAGGGAGCAGCATTTGGGGTATTCTGTAAGGCAGGTATGTGATCCTCCAGATGTTGTTGGTCTAGAACTCTCATTTTCCTTCTTCCATTGGCCATGCTAGCTAGAGATGCGAGAAGAGTCCGACAACATCTGGAGATCCAAAAGCTCCCCACCTCTGATATGAATATTTGTCTAGACCAGTAGGGTTGCCAAGTCAGGAACTCAAGTTTTCAATTGTGTTTTCAAAAATCAAGATTGGGCCCCCTCTTAACCACAGTGCAACAAGGCTTCCCCAGGATAGCCATTCAGTATACTCGAAAGAGGACAATTCCTTCCTGTCCAAGAAGAAACACTCTGTTGTGAGATTACTTTCAGTATGCGGACACATTTAGTCTGAGGAATTTAACTCAGAGGAGGTCTGTAACCTCCTGTAACACAACCTGAATTGGCTTGGAAATACAAACCTGGGTATTTTTTTCATGCAACTCCCCCCCCCTTGTACAAATTCCTTTCCTTATACAATAACAGCCCCTCCCTTAAGCATTCCACAAAAACACTTAGACCAGGGCTCAGGAACCTCTGATCTTCTCTGGTGGTTGGTCATGGCTGAACCACAACTCCAATTACTCACAACCATTGACCATCCTGACTGGGGCTGCTGGGAGTTGGAGTCCAAAAATATTGTCGAACTACAACTCCCATCATCCTGACCATTGGTCATGCTGGCCAGTGGTTGATGGGAGTTGGAGTCCAACAAGTTCTAAGGTGCCACGGGTTCCTTGTCCTGCCAGTTTAACCAGGCACACACATTAAGAAATGCTATAAAACCCTACAGTAAATCCTGATTTTACAGCCATGTAAAGACAGCAATCAAGCGCCCACAAAAATGCTAACTCTATGGGGAAATTGCAATACTCAGTAGTAAAGCCCCACTCAGTTGAGTAATTAGCATCTCCAGCATAGATTTGCCTCAGCCAAAGACTCCTAGACAGCCACAACCAGTCAAAGGAGGAAAAGCTAGGTGAGATTGACCAACAGTTTGACTAAGAGGGGCAAGGGCCCCATAGTGCAGTAGGGGAGAGATGGGTCTGCATGGCCTCTTTGCTTTCTTTGCTAAAGGACCAGTTCTATCAGGCTCATCCCACCACTATTATGTACAGCAGTCATTCCATCAGGATGGAATACAATTCCCATCACCTTTTACCTTTGGTCAGGCTGGCTTTGGATGATGAAAGTTGGGAGCCCAAGTATCTAAGCCCCTAGCTGTGAATGAGTTTATAACTTATCGCAAGCATCTTGAATTTGGTTCAGTTAAATATCACCATAGGAACAAATAAAGAGCCTGCTGGATTCTGACAAAAACCCATCTAGGCCAACATCCTGTTCTCACAATGGCCAGATGCTTCTTGGGGAGCCTATAAGCAGCTCCTCAGTGTAGTGACAGTCTGTCCACCTGTGATTTCCAGTAACTCATGTTCAGAGGCATACCACTTCAGACAGTAGCGGTAGGGCATAGTCATCAGGGTTTCAAGGAGCCATTGACACCCTCATTCTCCATAAATTTGCCTGATCCTATAAGAATGTCAGGAGAGCTCTGCTGCATCATGCCAAAGGTAGCCCATCTTGTCCAACATCCTGTTCTCATAGTGGCCAACCGGATGCCACAATGGGAAGGCTAGAAGCAGGGCCTGGGTACAACGGCACCTCCCCACTTGCGCTTCCCAGTAACTGGTATTCAGGGGCATACAGCCCTCACCAGATGTGGTAGAACATAGCCATCATGACTAGCAGCCCTTGACCCAGGCTTCCTCAAGCTCGGCCCTCCAGATGTTTTTGGCCTACAACTCCCATGATCCCTAGCTAGCAGGACCAGTGGTCAGAAATGATGGGAATTGTAGTCTCAAAACATCTGGAGGGCTGAGGTTGAGGAAGCCTGCCTTGACCTCTCCGGTCACAAATCTGGAAAGCTATTGTTCCTACTCAATGAGATTTGGCAGAAGGCTTCCTTGAAGAATGACAGATCCACTGACAGTCCAGAGAACAGTGAGGTCCTCATACTTACCCTGTCGATAGAAGACGTGGTTGTCAAGTCAAGTGTTGTCGAGCGAATGAGGAACCCTTGGGACGAAGGAGCTTTTTATACGCTCCCCAGACATTCCATTTTAGGCATCAGAGACATTCCAGTAGAATTTTTGACGCACCCATGGCCTCACCTTTCCTTAACTTCACACCATCTTGCATTTATGTGACTCATCCCTGCATGAGATTCCTATCTTCCGTTGGATTTGAGTATGCCACCCACCTGCGTCTGTGGGTGCCTTCTGTCACCCCAGAGTTATGTGACACCTGACTTCACCTTCTGGGTGAAGGTTCTTTCCCGATATATCCGCCATCTGCTTTGGGTGTTTTGTTGAATCTTACGTTCCTATGAAACTCAAGATCTTCGAAACAGCATTGAACTTAGGGAGCCATCTATCACTGGCTCAGACATTTGTCCCTTCTAACCCAGTCTACAGAGAGACTCTTGAGAGTCCCATGGACTGCAAGAAGATCAAACCTATCCATTCTGCAGGAAATCAGCCCTGAGTGCTCACTGGAAGGACAGATCCTGAAGCTGAGGCTCCAATACTTTGGCCACCTCATGAGAAGAGAAGACTCACTGGAAAAGACCCTGATGTTGGGAAAGATGGAGGGCACAAGGAGAAGGGGATGACAGAGGACGAGATGGTGGGACAGTGTTGTCGAAGCTACCAGCATGAGTTTGACCAAACTGGGGGAGGCAGTGGAAGACAGGAGGGCCCGGCGTGCTCTGGTCCATGGGGTCACGAAGAGGCGGACACGCCTAAACAACTAAACAACAACAACCCAGTCTACACTGATTGGCAGCTGCTTCCCCTAGGCTTACCTGGAGGGGCTGGGGTTGGAAGCTGGGACTTTCCACAGGGAACAAAGATGCTCCACCACCAGAGCCACAAGCTCCTTGGGACTGGGCAATTTTATTTTTATGTAATTTTTATTAAATTTCCTGTTTTACAATTTAGAATATTCATTTAAACAACCTTAAAATATCAACGACTTCCCTTCTTCTCTTTCCGTGGTTCATTTTGCATAGCATCAATCCCTGCATATTTTATATAAACTAAACCATTCAGTATTCCATTATTACTTCCATCAAAACTTATTTACACTGTTGAATTTATCTTAATGCTGCCAACCTTTTCAAGTGTACACAATTTCCCCCCATATATTCAATCGACATTTTCCAATCTTCTTTAAATGAATGTTCTTCTTGTTCTCTTATTCTATAAGTTGGATCTGCAAGCTGCGCATATGCAATCAGTTTTAGTTGCCATTCTTCTCTGGTTGGGACCTCGCTCGTTTTCCATTTTTGGGCTAACCAAACACAAGCCGCCATAGTGGCATACATAAATAACCTTTTTTAACACCTGGGAATTTCCATCTGAATTGTCCCCAACAAAAATGACTCTGTGTTGTTGTTGCTTTTGGGAAAGGTGCTTTTAAACCTTTTCAATCCATTATAAATTATTTCCCAATATTCGTTTACCATTTTACAGGTCCACCATATAGGAAAAAACGTATCTTCGACCTCAAGGGACTGGGCAATTTTAGGCCCCCAAATATCTTTGGGTTAGGGGCTGGACCCCATCACACAATGTTCAAAAAGCCACAATCAGCTCTTCCCAATGTCCTGGTGTCACGCACAAGACATCAGGACATTGATGTCACACACGCAATATTGGTCCGTCCAATCGCTCTCGCAAACGGGCTCCTTTGTCTGCCACTAAGCCATCATCCCACCATATAACATAAGAAGTTGTCTTACACCAAGTCAGTCTCCATCCGCCTAGTTCTCCAGGGTGTTTTTCTAAGCTCTGGCTAGAGAGGCTGTGGATTTTACCTGGGGCCTTGGGCATGCAGAGTAGAAAATATCTGCCACTTGTAAAAGGGTTAAAGAGTATGGGGAATTGATCCATAATGAATTCGGGGGGGGGGGGATATTTAAAAGTACTCCCTCCCCCCCCCAAAAAAAAACACAGAGTCCTTTCTGTTGGGGATAATTCAGACAGAAATTCCCAGGTGTCAAAAAAAGTTATTTATGTATGCCACTACTGCGGCCCGTGTTTCATCATCATCATCATCCTTTTTATTCGACCGTCAGTCAGAAAACCCGTGTTTCATTAGCCCAAAAATAGAAAGCGAGTGAGGTCCCAATCAAAGAAGATTGGCAACTTAAGTTGACAGAATATGCGCAGCTTGCAGACTCAACATATAGAATAAGAGGACAAGAAGAACATCCGTTTAGAGAAGATTGGAAAATGTTTATTGAATATGTGGGAAATAACTGTGTACAACTGAAAACGCTGACAGCGCTGAGATAAATTCAGCAGTGTAAACAAGTTTTGATGGATGCAATAATGGAATACTGACTGGTATAGTTTTTTGTAAAATATGCAGGGATTTATGATACGTAAAATGAACCATGAAAAGAGAAGAAGGGAAGTCACTGCTTTCTTAAGGATTGTAAAAATGAGTAAATTGTAAAACAGAAATATATATATGTATATGTATATTTGCCACTGAGCTACCTTTATATTACTGCTCTGCCACAGTCCTTTGCTTAAAAATCAAGTGAGATTTCAGTCCTTGAATAAAAAGCTGGCTTAAATAGCAAACTGCCTTCTACAGACCATGGGTTCACCTGGCTCAGTTTTAGCTGTACTGAAAGGGCCTTGACTCTTCAGGGCTTCAGACAGGGAGCTTTTCGCATTCCTGGGGATGCCAGGAAGGAAACTGGAACCTATTGCTTGCCAAGAAAATGCTTTGCCACTGAGCTAAGACCCTCCCTGTTGTTTGCTTGTGATCATTTACTGTTAGTTGCCCAGATATCTTTATATTATCATTAACAAATGTCATTAACACCCCAGGGGAGAAAATATCTGGTGCATTAAAGATGCCAAAAATAAATAAAAATAAATATTCAGAAATGGACCAACTGGCCTGTTTTTAAAATCCATCGTCCCATTTCTTGTGGGGCTGTCTTTTCAGCCTTTCAGTGAATGGAAAGAATATACCTTTAAAAAATGAGACTAAATTTAAAACAGTGAAATATGTAATTTTAAAAAAATCTGGTTCCACATGGTTGCACATTTAGCTTAGACCATTTCTAGTGAGAGTTTTAAAGCAAACCGTATAAAACACAGCCTCTTTATGGATTCAGTTATACAGCTGCAAATAAAATGTTTAAAGTGTGTTTTAAGTGCAATATACAATGTGATACTAGGTGACGATGGTGGGCCTTATGGAAAATTCAATGTATTTTTTAAAACACTTTAAAAAAAAAACATTTTCAGAACTTTTTTTATGTGTGTGTAGATTCCACCTGTGTTGGAGATTCACAAATTTTCAATTCAATGGGGAAAATTCGTTGAAGGTGCGTCTGTTTTCTCTAGGACTCTGTTTTCACAAGCACCCGCTCACTATTTTCTAATTCCTTTTTCAGCTCTCTGTAATAATAATAATTTAATAAAAATAATAATAATAAAGTAGGTAAAGGTACCTACAGAGTCCATGCTCACTAGTGTTGGATAAATCTCTCAATTTCAGTTTCTCTTACTTTCACATTTTTCTGTTCTTAAGTTCCCGTCTCCAGATTTCCATACCATTTGTGATTTAAAAAAAATAAAATGCAAAATCATCAGCATTTTATTTTTTCTTTAAAATGTGCACTTCATTTGCAAATCTGCCTAATAATGTGTGTGTTTATTGCCATTTTCTCTGACAGAATGGCTTTTTATATGCCATTTTCAATCGTATATGGGCTGATGAGGAATCTAAGAGCTCTGTCCATGGAGACTGGATACCTGTTGTAGCCTGTAGAGGACTCACCCTTTGAATGACATTTACTTATTCAGTGTTGACTTGTTTGTGTTTATATTTCACCACCCGTCCTGAGGCAGCTTACACAACAGCCGTAATAACAGTCAAGTAAAATCAGTGAAAGAAATCAGTTGTGACACAACCCACCAAAAAAACAATAGCACAGCTGTACACTCAAGAGAGAAATTTCACCCAATTCAGTGCAGAGAGTTTGCCTCGCCCGATCTGAGCACCTATCAGAATAACATCCATTTATTTTATTTTATTAAAGTAATCTTTTTGGTCAGTAAAGAGGGAACCAGGCTGGTGATTGGACTGGAGATGGAGGAGGAATTGGTTTGGTGTGCTTTTCACAGAGGACTGATCCGATCCGTTGTACCCAGACTTGCTTGAAGAGTTGGTTCACAGCAACTAGATACCCCAATGCCTTTCTGGTGTGCAAAGAAAAAGATGTGTAGAAAAATACTTATATCACACAAAAGGTGCAAACAAAAGGTGCATTTTTGTGGAGGACTGCTTTTGAAAACATTGGAAAGTATTTTACATTTAAAAGTGGATATTTCATATAAAACTGTATAACGTATGCACATTTTAAGCAGGTGTTGGGAGACCGTAGCTCTGCCCAATCGCCTTCTCAATCTGGCCCATGGACGGTCCGGGAATCAGCATGTTTTTACATGAGCAGAATGTGTGCTTTTCTTTAAAATGCATCTCTGGGTTATTTGCAGGGCCTGCCTGGTGTTTTTACATGAGTAGAATGTGTGCTTTTATTTAAAATGCATCTCTGGGTTATTTGAGGGGCAAGGGAATTCATTCATTTTTTTCCCCCTCAAAATGTAGTCCGGCCCCCACAAGGTCTGAGGGACAGTGGACCGGCCCCCTGCTGAAAAGGTTTGCTGACCTCTGGTGTAGACAATTCTGAGCTAGATGGGCCTGTGGTTTGACTGTGTAAGGTAGCTTCCTATCTTCCTATGTTCATCACCAGCTCCTACAGATGAAACATCAACAGATCATTCTAGCTTTAAAGTGAGAGCTATCTGGCTAGCCAAATGAATAGTTAATCAGAAACCACAGCAATGTTTCTATAATTGTTTTTCCAGCAGCTCTCCGTTGCTTTTTTAAAAACAACAACAACAACACCCTGTCTTCCTGGTGAGTAGGTTTGTCCTCATTATTCACATCCTTTTTAACTTTTCT